GCTCTGTGGCCCCTCACCCCCGTCATTTTTACAGTTTCATTTTAAACTGGGGCATCGTTTGCTTCCTTTTAAACAGTTTTATGTTTTTTTTTTATCCCTTATATGCCTTTAAAAATGAATTTTAGAGCTCAAAGATGTTGTACAACATTATGATTATCGATAGACAGAAGTTGAAAATGTAGAAAATCCAAAGGATTTCAAAGCCACAGGTGTTCACTCTGTAACTTGAGATATTTACACAGAAAGGTTTGTAAATATTTGAAATGATATGAAAGCTTTATTTTCTCGAACAGTGCCTGTAACATTGCAGTAGTAAGGGCCTTTACACACCGGTCCGAATTGCCAAATGTAGATTAGTTCTAGTATGGCTGTTTTATGTGACAGAATGATTTAGGTTAGGTTGTAAGTTTTGTTTTTTGGTAGGGACCATATTGAAGGACTAATTTTGATATAATTGAACCTAGGGTATGTGTTTTAGGCTCCAGTTAACCCAAACCCACACTCACAATTCCAGTTAACATGGGGAGGTACACGAAAGACCACCGAGAGAGTTTCTTATGTGGGTTTCCTTACAGGACAAACCTATCTAAGCAAAGCAAAGGGTAGTTCTTTCGTCTTCATGTGGCCTACTGAATTCTGATCCTAGACAAGATGAACACCGGCCACCAGCTTCTAGTTTATAGAAGTGGAAGCGCAACTTTACGAAGCAGCAAGATCTGGACAGTAGATGCTAGTGACAGGCTGTCCAAAGGCAAGACTTGTTGGCGTTCTGGTCGACACCATTCTCCTGCAAAGTTCAGTCAATCAACCCTCGTGCAGCCAAACATGGCTCGGTGAGATCCTTCCGCCTCTGGTGACTTTTTCTATCTTAATAATGACTAATACCTGCACTCTGTTTTCAAGAGATCTGGCCGAAAATATACTGCAAAAGCAGATTGCACAGATAGGCTATAGCTAGACTGTTCATGGCTTTGAAGGGGTAGGATTGGTGTGATATTATCATACTTTTTTAGGGAGGAATCTGAACAGCTGCTAACAAAGCATTACAATAATCCATTCTAGAGGTTCTGAATGCATGAGCTTACTCTTCAGAAGAACATGTTCTGCACCTTTGAGATGTTTCTGAGGTCAAAGAATAAAGAGTGCCTTTCTCTACTTCCTGTTGGAAATCTTATCTAGTACCAGCCAGTAAATGTTAATTCATTCATTTTTATTTTATTTTTCTAGGAGACCTTTTCCATTTATGTTTGCAAAAATATTTGCTTATCTAATGTTCCCTGCAGTTTCGCCTACAAAAAGTTGTACATTACTAGTATTTGTATTAGGATTTGTTATACATAAATGATTTAATTAGATAAATATAATAATATTTGCTTTATTTAATACTTTTGTTTTGGTACATTTTTAGACGTTATGGAGTATTAGTCAAAGACGTCATAGACTATTTTGGATGGATATGTCTCATTTGAATCTGTCGTGTGTACATTATCTGGTCATCTGTCAGACGTAATTTCATCCAAGCATGTCTGTGTGTGAAGATGGGGCAGGCACTGGAGAAGCAGGAATGGCAATGTTTTGATATGTGAGAAACGTGACTGAAATAACAAAAGTAGTGCCATGGTCACAGGCCACAGAATCCAAGAGCAGGGAAAGATGACCCTTGCATGCACAGGCTCGTTTTGTAAAGTGCTCTAACTCAATAACCATCATGAAATCAGCCTCAGTATAACTCTTCCTTTAGCCAAAGGAGAATATGATCCCAAATTGAAAGTCTTCCTTTGTTTCCAAAGAGCAAATGATTTGGGGCACTAAACATCCAAATAAAGGAGTTTGTTGACAATCCCTTTAATACAGCTTTCCCATCAGAGCGGACGTTTGAGAGAGCGCATCCAGTGAGGTGTAGTTAACATGCTTTGACACGTTCATACGTGGTGATCTAAATTCAAGAGGAACCCCTTGACTAAAATAGGTCTAAGCTGAGAATAGCAGCGGAGCCCAAGGGCAAAAGCGTCTCTTCATATGCCACTTTGAGTTTCATATCAAGGGTTTCCCTCAAGTCAGCCCAACATCACTGCGGTTCACACGGTCACGCTGGTCTAGCTGCAAGGCCATTTGTGGTTTGGGACCAATGTAGTCAGTCAGCGATCTAAGAGCCGCGAGGGAGAGAGTGACTGAGGTTGAGTGTTGAGTTGGGCCCTTGGAGGAAGCTCAGTCCATTAAACACTCTGAGGAAAACATTACGCCTCATGTAGAAGAACACTGCGAAAGTGATGCTGGAGATGTGGGTTCCTGTGCGTCTTAAATGGGAAATTTGCAAATGATGTTTTTCCTTTATTTAAACATTTGTTGTAGTGGCCAAGTGGATTGGAATATTTAGCTATGAAAAAGATATCTATTATGAAAAGATTTTAAATATGAAAAACTTTTTAGTATGTTAATAAAAAAATAAATAAATCAACGGATGTCACAATACTCTGTATAAACAATATAATCACAAGACACATCTCTTTGTTTAAAGGCGTGACATAAGCTACTTTGAAAATTTCATGTGTGTTTTCCAAACACTGGCTCGCTCCTTGTCAGACATTTTTTTTTTTATTGTCAGACATTTTTAATAGACTCTGGCTGTAGATAGAGCAGCTGTTTTGTAGCTGATTCTTTAGCGTAAAAAAACTAACAAACAAACTATATATACAAATTGACCTGAGTTACAGATCTAGGTCGCATGCAGACATTGAACCTTCCCCAGTAGTGCTATACACACAGCTACAACTTTACCCTGGTAAAGTTATCAGTCAAACAAAGTCAAAGCCATTGCTTGCTACATAGGAGCTAAGTCAGTTTATTAAGACAAATATGAGTATCGCAGCAATAAGTGTTCCAATCAGAGGCGATTAGGAGTGAGCCAGTGTTTGGAAGAACACATTTGTTTTTCATCTTCATTTGACCAAAGATTCGTATTTAACAGGTCAATTGTACACTGGTATTGCTAAAAAATTAGTAAGAAGTAGAGCTTAATAAAGTTTAAAACTGTATTTGTTGTTTTATTTTTATAGAGCGGGAAGAGGTGTCGTCACGTCAGCCGCAGCGGCCATATTATTTGTATCCACTAGTAGCCACGCTTAGCTTTGTAATGTATCTTATCCGCTAAATAAAATTATAAGAATTATTTTTTAAACACCAATTATTTACTTCTACAACTTTACATATTCGTACTTTTGGCAGTAGGATATATTATGCCATCAAAACATGTAGCCACCTCAAATGTCATTGTACATTATACAATTTTTTTTCATGTGCACATGTTGTGTTTTGGTTTGCCCTGGAAGTACAAGTAAAAAAAAAAACTTCCTCACAATATTGTGCACTCAAATCACATAGTTGTTGATCATCTGACCAAAAATAGATACACAGGTTTTGTAAAAAAAAAACACTAGGGAGGACAGCTCTAGAAAATGTTTTTAGTTCTTACTCATTTTCTACACTTCATTTTGAGGTTTGTGATGCAAAGTGTGTATGGAAAAGTTCACGTCAGAATTGGGAGCTGCTCAGTTCAAATTTTCTTGGCAGGCCTAATTTGGATTGGACTGTGGCAGCCTTGGTTTTATTTGTGATTTTTGAGGGCAAAGATGTGTGCTTTGGAGCTACATGGTGTTAATGTAAACCCAGTTTTTTGTGTGTGATATTTCAGCTGGTTTTTCAGTGCTCAACTTAATTTAGAAAGCCAATGTGCGTATCCAAAACTCACTGTAGTGGAGGTCACATTTTTCAAAATCCTTACAGATTGGCCTGCTGAAAACTGAAGCATATAGTCATTAAATTGTATATTCCTTTTGTATGGATTCAGAAATTTAAAACTAAACTGAGGCTAATGCATCTTTTCTTCAAGTGTTTCTCCGCATCTTACAATTTAGTGAGGTGTCCTTGGAAAAGGCTTGAGAAATCCTCTGGAAAACACTAAACATGCATTTTGTCAAAGACAAAAATGTACAAATGGAAGCTGTTCAATTTGAAACTAGGAGTGGACGTCCATCAAAGCCATCATCAGGATAACACATTTATATGTTAAAATGAGAAGTGGAAAAAAAAAATCATAGCAAAACAAATAAAAACATAAATATCCCAAGGACTTCACTTCGAGCATCAGCGTTTCACCAGTTGCAGTTTAGTATCTGTGAGAGAATTTTGAGATTTGTTCATTACACACTTGGCTGCCATCAATCACTGCAATTAGAATAGAGATTTCTTCTAATGTTACTTAGAAACAGAATGGTGTTGATGTACTGTAAGCTCATGCTCCTTTTCCTTAACTCTAGGCCTCATTACTCTTGGAACAGCTGATGTTGTTGGTTACATAACCTGGCTAAGCTCTGTCCTGCTGTGCGCTAGACTGCTTCAGATACTGTTGTTACGTTAGCAGACAGGTTCTTTTGTTTCCAGGTGGACATAAGGAGAGATATGCCCACGCTCACTGTGTGCTCAACTGTTTGTGCATGACATGGGATTGTTATTGTCAGATCTGTTAAGCTTTATGACGGCCAGTATCGCAGGCAGGGAGCGAAAGTGTCAGCGTGGCAGATTGGTAAAGGGCGGTTTTCACAAACAGCACGTTTGAAATGTGACTGACATCCTTCTGCTGCGGCCTTTGTCATGCATTGTATGTATACAAGACAGGAAATGAGCTATGAATCATGCAGTTCAACTCTGACTTTGGTACAAAAGATTACACAATTTTTATTTACGCTTCTATTTCTTGAATGTTGATGATACTTAACAGACAGATCCAAAAAGTCCGAAAGACAGTCATTAGCCATGTTTCCATCCAAAGAGGTAAATAAAAAATTATGTGCAAAACTGGAATATTGCATAAAATATTTGTGAATATTTTCGTCCAATGACCCCAAGAGGGCAAAATCGTCACTTCCTGATAAACTGGTGCCAAAATATTTACATTTGCATTTATGTATTGGGCAGACGCTTTTAATTTTTTTGTCAGTTCTTGCTTTCCCTGGAAGTTGAACCCACAACTTTGGTGTTGTTAGCGCAATGCTCTACCAACTGAGCCACAGGAAAGGTGAAGTATTAAAAGTAAAATGGAAGGAGAAAGCCTTTTTCCTTTTACTTGCGTCTTAGAACACGTAGATGAAACGCAACATGTACAGTCATGCTTTAGCAACGTAGCCGGTTAAAACTGCGAGCTGATTATACCACTTTGATGACCAGGGGCGCCAATCGGACGGACTAGCCAAGTACCGCAAGCGTGTATATTCAATATTCAGGAGGTGGGGCAGCTAGAATGAACATTGACGTCTCTCTGACAGGAGCAAGCTAATACACAGAAAATGAATGCTAATTCATAACTATAGGCAAGGATAATTAAGTGACTGGTCGTAATAAGCTCCTCCCAAACATGATTATATAAACGGCATGTTGCTCAATGAAATCCATCGGCTAGTCCCTTGATGCCGCCCCATCGTGCGCCAGTTCCGACAGTACTATGCATTGCCATTGCATTGGGATTTATTCTGTAAATGTATTTCCGTGAAAGTTATTCCCAATTTATACTTTTTTATGTCCATCTTAGTATTTCCATCCAGGTATTTTCCAACTCAGAAACATTCAGATTGAATTTGAGCCCAATCAAATCATTTACAAATTGATCACCTGGCTTTATAAAATATTTTTTTTATATATAACTAATCTTTTGTACTTTTCTTTTAACAGTGTACAACGACTGAGTGAAGAGGATCTGAAACGCATAGTTGGATTACAACCGGAGGAGGTGCTTTTTACGATTGTTCTCCTTCCCATCCCACATCTCTTTCGACTCGTATTACCATTCAACAGTGGATGGTGACCATCCAACAACCCCCAGAGGAGCCGTGAGGTGTTTCTCACAACCTCAACATCCCGGACACATCCTCTTAATATCAGCCCAGTTGCTTCAAACAAAGCTGTGACCACAATGAGTTCCCACAGCCGCCCAGGTAAGAGCTCTCTTATGTTACCCCATTCAACGAACAAAATTAACACTGTGGATCTGGCGCTGCTCTCGTTTCAATTACGCCTGTCTGAAAATAAACCTTTTGTGATCCAGAATTGTACCATTACAAACCCTTTTCTCTTGGTAGAAGAGGATGGCATTTCTGTACTACGGGAATAGAACATTATTGGGCTTTGAGGGCTGCGAATCAGCCTTGAGATGCCAGAAAAGGCTTTTTGAACAGCTTTTTGATTCACACTCAAATATCTGTCCCCTCGACTTTGCCAAGGCCGCCTTGTACAACTGTCAGCACGAGGAGGGGTTAGATTATTCTCCCTCCCCGCCTCTCTTGCTTTATCTTCCCACTTCTTTTTTTCTGTTTATATTTTGTCGCTTGCGTTTGCAGAGGGAAAGGTCATATGGTTTTATACGTTAGACAGATGAGCACTCAGTAGTGGTACTGCTTCATTCTCTGAGTGTTTATTCATTTGGGTTTGAAGTAGTCAGCCATGAGAGGTCAGTTATAGAATAGTGCTATGAATGAAGTCTGGTTTTGTTTAATGTTGTTCACTGCAAAGTGAAATTTCAATTGGAATTCACATTGAAAGTGGTGGTGTGTGGTTGGGGTTTTTGGTTGAGTAATTGGTTGTTGCACTAGATTTGAGTGTAAATTAAGTAGGTTTTTGGCAGAAAGTAATCCCTACTTGAGGAAGGACAGAACTCTGGAAGGGCCAACCTTCTTCTGGGTGCTACAAAAGTGTAGAATTTATCTGGGAGATAATGGTGGCAGAGAGGTCTCTGGGAACATAAGGTTTTTGTGGGGTCTTAAAAAAAATCTTTGAAAGCCAATTTTTTAACTTAAAATGAGTAAATTCGCTGCTCTAAGTATTAAATAATTCTTATTTGCTAAATTGCTGCTAGTCACTAAGCGGTTAGTCTTATTTATATTGAGAATGTGAAGTAGAGATGGAACAGGAAGCGTGTACTGCTTTTAATCTGGGATTAGGAATGGGAAAGAGTAGATAACGTAATAATGTTAGCTTTTCTTATGAAAACAATTTAAATCAGAGAATTCATGAAAGCCTGCATGAAAAATAACAAAATCAAAAGCATTTTACTAGTAATTTTTAAAGCTTCCCTGTTCCACTGTTTCTTCTGAAATCCTGATGCATGCAGCTTTATTCTGCGATGAGACCACAGGCGAGCATTTTTGAGTGGTGTAACATTGACTAAACCAACACCTGTAGGTCACAAGACTGTAACAATATTGCTCATGCTCTCAGTTCAAATATGTTCAGAATTTAGATTTCATGGATTTATTAATGCTGTTATATAATTGTGTTGACCGCATGAGGAAATTACAGGAGCAACTTTTTTTAGCCAATAATTTTTATCCGGATCTTCTCAGAGGGAGAAGAAGTTGTTGTTTAGATGCCTGTTTCTGTAATCCAGGGTTGATGTAATGGTTTTGTTCTCTCTGAGCTGGATTGGAGATCCGAATGCCTGATGTCACCTCTCACACATCCACTTTGCTAATCCGCTTTTGGTCCGAAAGAGCAATTTCAGCTTGGGATCGCCTGCATGTATCTAATCCAGTGATTCATCTGAGGTTGTTCCCTGATTTCTCCCCCTCTCTCTTTCTCTCTCTCTTCTCTCTCTCCCTCTGAAATGTTTCAATGGTAACTTTCTTTTGTAGACTGTTCTGATGTTGCTTGCATTTAAGCAAAAATTGTCAGTGAGTGGTTGGGTTTTTTGTTGACAAATTGGTAGTTTCACAAAATTAGTATTCAAAGGAATTGGGAGGAAATCAAGTAGGATTTTGTCAGAAAATGATTCACACCTGAAGAGCCTTCTTCTGGGTGCTACAACAGTATAAAAACTGGGAGAAATTGGTGCTAGACAAGTTGCTGGGAACATGGGACATTTTTAGGCTTTATCCTGGTATGAGATCACAGGAGATTTCACATGCGACCCTCTTTAGTCAATCATCGTTCTCTATATCTCTTCTGAGGGAGTTGTTTAGAGGCTTGTATTTACAAAAAGTAGAGTTTTTTTGTTGACCAATCTGTAATTGCCTATGAATATTGGGAGAAAATCAAGTAGACAGAAAATAATCTACACTTAAGCAATGACAGAATTCAGGAAGGGCAAGCCTTCTTCTGGGTGCAACAAACGGCTTGTATTTATAGAAATTGAGTGAGGAATAACAGCTGGAAAATATAGATTATCTGCAGGTTTCTGGAGGAATTTTCCAGGGATAGCGTGACACCACTTTAGGTCATTAACTTGTCCACATATAACCAACCTACCTACCAACCAACCAACCAACCAACCAACCAACCAGAAAGCTGTTCATGTTTGTTCAAGCTTGTCCATTAACCAAACTCTGCTTCCAGATCACCATTAGTTCCAAGACCCCTCACTATTAATTTCTCCCTAATATGCTTGCATACCAAGTAAATAGGCTTGTTCCGTAAAACAAACTTGTGAAATGCACTTTAAAAATGGTATCCTTTTTGGTGTATCAACACAAACAGAGATTCATTAAGCCAGAGAGAAATGTTTTTGTGGTGAATTCAGTTGAGCTTTCATCACCTGACTCAAAAAAGTATTGGTTTCTTTTGTGATTGAATGCCAAGAAATGGAATTGAATGAGCCAAAAATAAGCCAGATGCATTAAAAAGCCGCACAAACTACTGTTCAAATGCTTTAGCGAGCACATCTTCTCTCATCTTCTTGGCTCAATTAGTTAGCTTGGTGCTTGAAGTTTAGAGTTATTTTTAGAGTTTTTGATCTTATAGGATTTGCATCCTTTAGCTGACCACTTAGAATTGTTTTGGGAAGCATCATAATAAAGGTTTTACTGGTTTCTTACAATTGCTTTTTCTGCTTACAGAGCTTGGTGACTTACTTTAGCTCAAGAAAGTAACTGGTGAGCAGTAATTGGCTGTTTCTGTTATTCTGCCAGTTGTACCACTTACTTTCAATATCTGTATTTTGCTCAGGTAGTCTTTTCCTCCCAACGATCCCATTCCAAACCATTTACAACCCTTTGCATGGTCCAGAAGTTTGGAGACAGCAACAGGTCAATTGCCTTTTTCATCCTACGAGGAACAGTAACGATGAAAAACGTGTTGTTTCCCAGAAGTGGTCACCAGAGCTGTCTTATTTGCCTCCTGGTTACTTGTTTTTGGATTAGCATACAGGTTTTTATCAGCTTGTATCAAAGTTCTTTGGGAGTATCGGCTCGGTCTATTCTGTTGGATTTCTGGGTGATTGAGCCTATTGTTTGGCCGTTTTTGTTTTCTGTGTACCCAGTTCCCTTCACTGCCCAGTTTATCCAAGCAGTCTGACGTCAGGGCTGCCAGTCTGCAGGCTTTACTGCTCCAAAGTACTGGCACTAATGGTGTGTCTGCCCCTGGGAAGGCGGATGGGGAAGCAACTTGATCCAGATGCAGACGCCAGTGAATTGTAATCGCAGTCTGTCACTGTTTTTACTCAAGCCAAGCAGCTGCAGACCTGGCCGCTCCTTATTTTGTCGCTATTTATACAGGATACCAGCATCATTTGGTCTGAGGTAGTCGCTCAGAAACCAGTGTAGAATGGAGCAAGTCTGTGATCTGTCCTATTTGATTGGAATTCAAAGATGCAGATAGATTTTTTTTAGCAATTTTCCCTTCAGACGCACACGTTTTCCTGCAGACACTACCGTTTCCTCCATTGCACGAGCCGATCTGTGTAGGCATTTGTGCATCTTGTAGTCGTGCTCCTCAGTGATGAGCAGCCCAACTAATCGACGATGGCATTCATTGACAATGATTATTATTGATTTTATCGAATACTTGTTGCAGCCCAAGTGTTGATGCTTACAAATGATATGGATTTGCGAAAAAAGTTCAGTTAGAAAATATTTCCATACATCACTATTCAATTCACTTGCTTTTTATTTGGAATCTATAATTAGACAATGGAAACAAGTCCTGCTAATGAGTAGAGGACAGATTTAGATGCTTCAAGAGTGAATCATAATGTGTTTTTCTACTATATATACCACAGTTATATATTCATGCTTTCCTTGAAGTTAATTAATTT